AATAAATAAATAAATAAATAAATAAATAATAAAATAAAGTTGTATACATAATAGAGGTTTAAGTACATTATTTAAAGCCATAAAAATAAGTAAACAATAAAAGAACATAAAATTAAGTGAGATTGACCAATGGAGAGAGGAGAGGGAAAGTAGGAGCTATATTGATCATTTTGTAGCTGGAAATCAAAATATATGGTTTAGAAATAAAAACTCAAATGATATAGCGTGTGCATCCTATTCAGAGTAACAAGCTAATCAGCAGAAAAACTCAAAACAGAGTAGGACTGAGGCAGAAAAAGAGAAGAATTTTATTTTTGCTTTTTATAAACCCCTTTGTAAGGTTTGAGCTGTTGTTTTCACATGTATATATTACTTCCATAATTGTAATTAAGTATAATATAATTTAGAATTAACAAAAAAAAACTGTGACATAATTCACGTTAATGTGAAAATGTCTCCACACTGACCCCGAATGAAGAGGAAGAAATATGGAAAGACTCATATTTCAGAGATTCCCTTGCGTCATCTCTACAGCTTGGTGCCCAAATCTGGAATAGATTGCCCTTTGTTTATTTGAATACATTCGTAAATTTTGGATATAAAAGCCCTGAGACTAGAAAAAGACAGAGAGCTAAAATGCTTTCCCTAGTATAGCAAAGGCAAATGGTTTGGGGGTGGGGAGCAAGAATGAATGACGTGTGTCAAGGAGAGATTTGAGGCTGTAAAGCAGCAGACAAGAAAAGTCCAGAGGCTGGCAAGGTCTGCTGAGAAAGTCAGCTAGAAGATATTCCTGGTGACAATGGAAGGCAATGGTCTTTTAAGATCACAGTTACATGACTTTCAGTGTGAAAGTCTAGTCTTGTGTAGCCAGTCATATACCACTCTGTGAACTCTAAAGCCTTAGTAAAATCCAACTACACAACTTTCTTGTGTGACTGCTATTTTGAAGAAGTCAAGGAAAAGAGACAATGTTCTCTATTATTGATCAAGATGAGGTGGGGAACCAGAGGCCAGCCACAAAATGGATGCAGGGATGAGAATGAGGTTTCAGAGGAGGCAAAAAAAAATTGGAAGTGGTGACTGTCAGAAATATAAGGCTCCCACGAATATCCAGAGATTTAAGAAGAACATGTGGGGTAAGCGCCATCTAGCCCCTCACATCCCTTTTACCATTCCTGCGCACTCCTCTGCAGGCTTCTGTGTGTTTTGGTTTCTAATGGTCATGTCTTCTACTCTCTTGCTAGGACTCCCCTGAGGCTGTTGGACAGCTTTGCCCCTGCGCAGAGAGAGCTTGCTGCCCTGGAGGCTTGTGTGCCCCCAGAGTGGCCCTTCACCAATAACTGGCTGGTACAGCAGAATGAAAGTCCCGTTCCTTTGCCTGGAATTGGGACAAAATTAAAGCAAATTCATAGTCCAGAGTTCCCTTTAACAAGGCTAAGTCACTCTCTGTAGGACTTCGCCTGGTTCCCTGTCCTGTCCTGCTCCCCCTACTGCCTTTCCCATTTCTTCTTGGAGCACTTATTTAATAAATTACTTGCACACAAATCCTCAACTCAGGGTCTGCTTCTGAGGAATCTGACAAGAGAGACACTAAAGCCATTTTAACTGAAATGTTAAAGGAAAAAGTGATCAGATTGGATGGAAAGACTTGGACAAGCCCGAGAAGAATGTTTAGATTACACATAGACCAGGCTTTCAAAGACTTTCATGCTGGTTATTATTGGATGGAAAGAAAGGCAAGCAAAACCAAATGTACCTTAAATATAAAGAGGAAGTAAAGGTCGGCCAAGTGGCGTGATGGTTAAGCGCTGGCTTGGGACACCAGAGGGCCCCGGTTCGGATCCCACATNGATGGTTAAGCGCTGGCTTGGGACACCAGAGGGCCCCGGTTCGGATCCCACATGTGAGGGCCAGTGACACTGCCCTCTACAGCTAAGATGCTGAAAAAAAAAAAAAAAAAGAGTAAGTGAGATGTTCCAGAGAAATATTTGTGATCAAATAGGGAGTGAAAGGAGAAGACTTGGAGGAAGATGTAAGTAGGGTTAAGTAGAAAGTAAAGATGTCAGGTAAAGAGACCTCAGGTAAGGCACAACTATGTATTTGCAATGACCACATATACCCTGCAATATGGTAAAATAGTATAGAACAATAATCAGAGAAACATTAGTAAGTGATTCCAATAGGGCTCTCATTTTTTATCACATAGGAATCGAAGTGATAACAAAGACACTGGGTTTTTGACAGGTGATTGTTTATTTCTGACATTCCACCAAATCCAGGAAAGCAGAAGCTTAAGCTGAGCTCAGATATAAATCATCAATAGTTCCATATTATCAGTGGAACTATCAACAGATTCTCCTAAAACAGGTGGGTTTTTTTTCCAGTAAATAATAATACTCAAGGAACAGTAGAACTGCTAATTAATGTGTCTAATTCTCTATTTTTGCGGGGATAGGTATGAGAGAAGGGAAATGAATGTACCGACTTCTAACTGGTGTTCCTCTTGAAGTCTTACTCTTGTTTGAGTTGTTTAATCTCCAGAGACAGTTTATACACCTCCAGGGCCATTTTCACATCCTCGGGGTTTGGGAGACACTGCAGGAGTTGACTGCCTGTTAGCACTTGCTCACAGCCGTTATGGACTTCCTAAAAGAGATAAAAGGGTGGATTTTGAGAGGCTTCTCTCCAAACTGTGAAGGTAGAAGATTCCTTCAGGATGCCTCGCTGATGACAGCAAAATTGGAGTATCAAGACCCTCCTCAGGACTGATGGAAGAAACCCAAAAGATACTTCGTGTCTCAGCAAAGCATTCACCCTAGCATTCAGACCAAAGAAGCAGGGAAGGAACTGTGCTACGGAAGACACCCAGAGGGCCTCTTTAGGGATAACTGAAGGGAGGGTCCTGATGGTTATGCAAAAAGCATAGCACTTATGCTACATAGGGCTGGGGGCCAGGTCACCTGGATCTTAAAACCCTCCTATCTAGAGGCTTGGCCCTTCTGGCTATTAAATGGGAGAATTTAAAATTTGTCTTAATGAGCTCACCAAATGCTTTGAGAGTGAAATTGCTGATTCCAAAAGTGATTTAAACAAGTCAGAAATGAGTCCTGACAAAAGTCAGATCTCATCAGTGTTGGTTGGGACCATGCTCTGGAGCAGGCTACCATTTTTAGAATGTGATAGAACACGTGGAAACGTGTGCTACTTACCCACTCACACTTGGACACCTCTGGGTACCAGGTTTTGTTCTCTGAGCAGGTGATATTTTGAGAGCTGACCACGACATAGCCAGAGTTACAGCGGATTGTGACATTTTCAGACTCAACATATTGATTCTTATCCACAGACAGTTTTCCATTTTCTATCTCTGGTTTCAGACACAGAGCTGTTACGGAAACATAATTTTGATCATCTTGTGATTCTCAGAATAAGATCTTACAAAAGCAGAGCATACTTAAGGGTGAGAAACACTGATAAATTATACCTGCATCCTGAGAGTTGTTCTTTCCCTCTATTTATTGCATTATAACAAATTAATGATAACAATAATAATAATATTTTACATACTACTTATCAACATAAAACATGATTATCTCTATTTTGCTGAAGAGAAGAATTAGGTACAGATAGTTTATGTGACTTGTCTAAGGTTTTATAGCTTTTAAGCGGCATGATTATGATGAAAACCTAGGTATTGTGGTCCTGGAATCCGAATTTTCAAAACCATTGTACCTCAAAACCTCACTCATTTCATGATTCTAATTATGTCTCAGATCATTACTATCTTCCTGTATTGAGACAATGATGAGAAATTAGCCCCTTGCACTGTTGTTAGAACTATGATTTAAAAAAAAAAAAAGGCACACCTAATCTTTTTTCTTTTTCTTTTTTTAATTGGGAACTGGGGGGATGGGAACAGCGCTAGGGAATTGGGACAAGGGGAACAGACAAGTTGCTGTCCTTTTGTTCTTCAGTCTAGTTGTGGAGGACGCTTCACTGGCCCAAGTTGGCACCACCATTGTGCTCTTCCCAGGTGAGGCAGATCAGTCGCCAGCTTCTGGACGGCCGCTCACTGCGGCTGCTGGCCGCTCACTGCGGCTGCTGGCTACACACGGTAGCCCATGGCAACCTACTGCAGCANCCCAATAAAATCTTAAAAAAAAAAAGTCTAACTACTATGCTGTACACCTGAAATTAATATAAAATATTGAATGTCAAAATGAATAAATAGTTTAAAAAATAAAAATAGTAAATATACTGTTTCTGTAAAAAAAAGTAATTGTTGATTTAAAAAATAATTATTATTATGGTTTCATATGTAAGAAAAAAAGGAAATAAATAGTTCATTTCAAAACCACTGAATAGCGGGTCTGAGCAGGAAGTCTCAAGGAATGTGGTGTGAAGTGTGTGGAACTGAAACAGCATCTGATGTGCCTGAGCATTAGGAAATATATTTCGAGACTATGACAGATCTATGGGAGCTTGTAGCAAGAATCAGTAATAAGAACACAAAAAAACTAAACAAATACTTAAAAAGATAAATTATTAGAGCCATAAAAATTAAAGAGTTGTCTGCTTGGTTTACATTGGCTTAGCAAAGATCAAGATTTGCTTAATCATAATAATGCAAACACTGAATTAATTTAACCAAGGAGTAGAAGATAACTACACTGTGAGGCAAGATGAACTACAAAGGACCTAAACTCTATTCTCTCTTAATAATAAGTTAATCCATAATGTTTAAAAATAATCAATAAATATAAATAAAATGAGAATATTATTGGAAATATGTAGATAAATATTATAAGAAAGAGCTAAATGACTTGAAAGTGGTTCTTTGGGGGAATACGACCAAAGGATGGAATGAAACGGTTCAGAATACTAGAGTTTTCATTACAAGTCTTTTAGAATTATTTGACTTTTTAATTATTTGCTTGTATTATTTTAATAAAATAGTAAATTATTTAAAATAAAGTTGGGGCCGGCCGAGTGGCTCGGTTGGTTAAGAGCTCGTTCAAGAGTTTGAGCTCTGAGCAACAGCAGTTTGAGTCCCGGCCCGAGCTGAGCAGCCGCTGAGCTGCCAACAGGTGGCAGGATGGTTCAGCTAAAAAAAA